CCCCAAAACCCCAAAACCCCAAAACCCCGAGATTACCAGTTTTAGTTTATAATAAAGTTTTGAAATTAAAAGTAAGAGTAAGAATCATAATTTCTAAATTCTGTCAATTTTTATCATATGTTGTTTATTTAGCAAAGACTTGGAATAGGCTTTTCAAAGCCTAGGTAACCTAATGAGACTATTTTATTGAGACTTAGAGAGCCGTCAAAGCAAAATACTCCCCAGTATCTATAAGGCTTAGAGTTTCCCTAACTGACTGCAGTTTTAGTGTATGGAACATAAAACTTAGCTACAGGACCATAGTTTTAGCCTCTGATGTAAAGATCTATTCTTGCTTCTGTGTCCTATATTTACTATTGGGACAATATCTGCTTATCAAGGTATTCTCCAACATATACTAAGTATTGGTATTCGCCAATAGCATTAAATGTCACAGTTTCAGCGTTTCTAACCTCAGGTCTCTAGTTTTAGCTGTCGAAGTTTCCTATTACTCCCTAGCACAATGGATTGTAAAAGCCAACTGAGCAGACAAACTTGTCTTTTAGCTAGAAGTCAACAAACAAGTCTAGGTCTCTGTTTTTAATAGAAGCTTTTGATTGGTCTTATGATAGCCATGTGAGTACTAGTCTAACTTAATACTGATCATCTTTAGCATCATTCAAGAAGATGTCTCTAAAATGACTCTTACTGGAGTATTTGTCTCCCAGCAGGAAAACGTTTGATTCTAAGTAAGGCATATATTAGCCAGTTGAGTCATTTACATTAATCATTATCTATCCTGGGAATAGATTGAATAGCTCAAAAGTTCCATTAAAATCAGGTACCATAACTGATAAGGCCTGTTATCTTTCTATCTTAGTTGTATTTCCACCCTCAAATATGGATACTTTAGCTTTACTAATAGGATTAAAAGTGCTTGCATCAATAAGTTAAGAGGAATAGTAAGAAAGAATGTCAACATTTTTCCTTATCAAATAGGTTTGGAAATATTTTTCTTTTTCAAACACAATTCCTCCAAACTGTATGATCTTTTGTGAGGACTTAAAATTAGCATTTTCAAAAGCGAATGAAACTTAATAGGCTAGATTGTTTTTCATGACAGGGAATTCCATAACAAATTCACCATTAATATCTGTTATCGTTGTCTTTTATTCACAACTCTATAAAGTTTGAAATAGTCAAATATTACAAAAGCTAAGAAGCTTGCAGTTACTTAGATTCCAGGTTGAAGTGTCTCATCAGCATAGTTTCTAACTCTGGCTTATAGCTTAACTGTCTTTTAGTCATCCACTAGGTTTTAAGAAATTTTCCTATAATTAATATTACAAAAAAACTTACGAATCTATAATTGAAAATACTCCAGGTCCTCTAACTTCTACAACTTAACCAGCAGCTGCAGATACCATTTATCCATTTGCTTCATTTCCATTTTCACCTTGAGTATTGACTTTGATTGAAATAGATAATCCAGATTTAATTGGGCAATTAGGTTCAAATAATAGATTATTAAGAGCATTGTTGACATCTTTAAAACTTCCGTAAAATGCCACTACATATGCATTGTTTGATTACATTCCATTAGTGCTATTGAAGACTAAATTGGATTCCATATTCTTTTACTAGTTATACATATTCTTATCTTCATTCGAATCAATCTTTATTTTTCCATCCTGAGTACTTAACTCCACATAGTATAATAAAGGTTAGCAGTCAGGTTTACACTAAGACTAATCCTCTGCAATTTGGATACCATATACAGGAAATGACCCCTAATTTACTTCTAATAGTTCTTTTCTAATATTTATAGATTCAATATTTACTTCATACTGAGAATTATAGATTTCTCTAGGTTATTCAGTAGCGAAAGGAAAGATTTCGGGTGGATCAGGGGTTTCAAAGGCAATCATAAAAGCCAGCACAAAAATTATTAGAAAAGAGAGTCCAAGAAACATGAATTCTATTCCCTTGTTATGCCACATTATTCTATCAGATCCATTTGCCAATTTTTTCCAAATATTTACACTAATGCCAATCATTATTAAACAAACTGCAGATGTTGTAAATCCAATTAGTGCTAGATACTTAATAGTAGAGCTTACCCACTAACCAAAAACAGCTTTGCAACTTTAATTTATGCAGCCATATAATATGTTTTAATCTTAAATATTTTTGGAATACTCATTTTCCCAAATATAGGCAATTTCATTTTTGTTGTCGCACTTAAGGTTATAGAATGAGGTAGAATTAAAATTGTTGACATATTTACCGCCATAGCAATTCATATCATCTACATTATAATAGTTTTTATTAACATGAATCATCAGCTTTCCCCAGTTAATTTCATAATATGAGTCAAAACTATCTGCATAATAAGATACTAAACTACTCTAGGTAATCATAGCTAGAGTACATAGAATTAAAATAATTGTATATGTTTCAATAGCAATTTTAGATTCAGTTAGAGCTGCAGCGTATCCCAAAAATAATAAACTCAGCATTACAACGCATAATGCAATTATGCTGCTTACTTGGGCATATGGGAAAAATCTATCACCAATAACAGGCAAACTTGTCACTTCTTTATTAGCATTAACAGTAACATATACTAAAGCCATCAAAAGTAGAGGTAATAAAACATTGTTAAAAGTATAAAAAGTTGCTGTAATCCTGTTGGAGTGTTAAGTTGAGCCTATCTCGATTCCCCTTATAAATACAACCAACAATAAAAGTGATATTAAAAGGCATGAAAAACTTGCAATTATGAAAAAAGCCTTTGTCAAAAGCTAGATTGATTCTAGCTGAGTTCCTTTTCCAAAATGTTACTCCCATTCATCAAAAGCTCCGCCATGCATTGATTCAAGAGCAGCCATTGCAGAATTAAGACTTATTGCTGATGCGATACCCAGAAATACCATAATCGACATCAGAATTGCAGATAGATTGAAGAAAATAAAAAGTGCTTCAAATCCAAATGTGCTTGAGAGGTTTGAGTAATATATTCTTTGAAGATCTTATTCAACCCTAAAGAAATTAGTTATACGCAGTACAATTTACTTGAAAATTGAAATAATTCCAATAAGCCAGATCAAATTTAAAAACAAGCACATCGTTGCAATCCAGGAGAAAATAGAGAAACGAGTTTGTTCATAAGCAACAAAGCCAAATACTGTCAAAAATAATGAAAAGAAAAGTATTATTCCAAGTATCAACTTTAAGCTCCCAAATTAAGTTAAGAATTCCTTTTGCTAAACATTATCGTCTAAAATAATTATAAGAGAGATGATAGAAGAATTACATACCAATTAATGGGTTTTGAGATTTGCCTATTACTCCGTTTACATCATCTACCCTAGTGTCGTCTAATGGATTATTTATATTGCTGTCATCTTATTCTTGGTTCATTCTCCTTTTATTTGCCTTGCCTTTTGAATTTTCTAATTTTTATTGTCTCATTGAAAGTAGTTCTTATTCATCAAGATCATCTTAATTTCCTTTCATTTTATTTCTCTAATCCTTCATTCGATTTATAATTATCTGTCTGTTCATTAAGTGCTCTTGTTCATCATATTGTGATTACTCCTCTTCTTCATCATCTTCAATAGGGTAGTTATCTCGATTTTGAATTAAATTGCTATCTTCTTGTTCATAACCTCCATCATCTTTGTCATCATATTGATTTTACTGTAATGGGTAAGCATAGTTTTCTTTCAAATTTTTGCTCTTTTATTGAGGCCTTTAATCAGTTTACCGAGCGAATTGAGGTCTTTAAAACTATTATTAAAGTTCATTTTCCGATTCAGACTCTCTTTCTTAATGTTATTACTGATGCTCAATATCAAAGCCGTCATCACTTGAAATGTTTATTTCTATATTTTTAGTTTTAAAAGTCATTTTGCTGCTCTATGTATTCCTGTCTTTCTTGGAGCTATTGATATCGTTCATTTCTTTATTATACTACTATAAATTTCTACTTTCTAAAATTATTAATTTATTCAAAATTCCAGATCAACACGAACTCAACGTAATTCAGAACTATGGGGTTTTGGGGTTTTGGGGTTTTGGGG